GCCCGAGCGGCAACTAGTATACACGCAAAACTCAGGCCCTGGCACAAAGTCACAGTCCTCCCGATCTTGTCAACGTCACTATGACGCTTAGAAGTCATAAATACTTTTCACGACTCCTTCACTTCACGAGTGCGGGTTTTGCCGGAGATCCCTGGGGTACTTCGCTTGGGCTTCGCGGTTTATGCCTTGTGCGACACTCTGCAAGCAGGTAACTATTCTGTGGAGAGATATTGAGCTATGTGGGAATAGCTATAATAGCCCAGAGCAATGCGATTGATCCTCCAGACGTTAAAACATAACTTTATACTAAACCACCTACAGAAATGTTGAATCGGCATCATAGCACTCGGAACGCTCCCATAAGCGCTCCGGCCCCATCTTCAGCAGCAAGTGAAGAGTTCCAGGTCCGATGGCACCAGTAACTGTATGATTGTACGTCTGTCTCGCTTTTCCCTTGAGTGTTGAGCGTGGACCAGATCCGCTGGTAACTCCTCGCAGTACCATTCTCCTCAGATTGTAATGGCCTGTTTGTGCTTCCGCACTGTTCACTCGCTCACAAAGGGCCCTCACAATATCTAGCTTGACATCAGTTCACTACCAAGTGGTGTAGAACAGGCCAGTAAATCTGCCTGCTCGTTTTCCAACACACCGGCATGACCTGGAGAAAATATCCAAAGGACGCTAACTACCAGGACCTTTGCTGCACAAAGCGTGCCTGCCTCCACCTTTCTCATCGTGGTCTGTGAATCCGTTTGTTTGTTTGTTTGTTTTAGTATCCAGAAGCCATGAGTTGTTAACCCTTAGGCTCGGTATTATGGCCTTGATTCCATTTTAAATACCGTAAATCTGGGAGAAATGTGGCTTTTCTGCCTACCCCTGGGAGTGAACCCGGACCACAAGGAGTTCGTCACCCGCTCACCGCGCAATCCGGTTTAGCCAACTACGCTAGAGAGCCGGGCATGTGAATCTGTTACAATTGTGTATACATCTGATTCTGAAGCCACCGGAAGGTAGCAGTGGCTTTTTCTACCTCCATTCTCAGACATCCATTCACTGTTGCTATGAACCCCCATGCTCTTCGTCTGCCTCTCAACGCAGAGCCATCTGTAAAGATAATCACATCACCTTGGCGGGAATAGTCACGGATCATGACAGCTGTGTTCATGTAGGAAACACTCACATCTAAGGACAAGGGTGTGCAGCTTGGCTTGTGTATCCATTTGTCTTCCTATTGCCCATACTATTTTCCTTGACTAATACTGGCCACAGCTTTCAGTCACGTATACTGACAGACATTTCTGATACAAATGTCCCAGTTTGTCTTGATGCCAAACCGCCAAACACAGTGTCTTGCGTATATCTCTTCCAACTTTCCCATTGTCCTGACACACTGAAGTAGTTTCTCTTTCTCATGGCGTGCTTAAAGAATGTGGATTGTCAACTTCTGATGTGAAACCCCGGTTCTTCTACCGAGTAAATTTCTTTTAAAAGCATCTTTATTGCGCATTGTATCTGCTCATGGTGCTCTAAACATTCATCTATAAAACTAGGTCTCTTTAGCTTCCGTCGGCGTATTTGGCTTCAGCGTTGCGAACGCGTTTCGTAATGCTGGGGTGTAGGGTTCGATCCCAGCTGCGGATGATTTGTCTTGCGTTGGTTTCGACAGTGGTACCGAGAGCTGAGCGTTGAGTAAGCATTGGCAAACTACTGAACGGAAAATTTGACTTTAAAAAACCCCCACAACAGCCGAAAAAAGCTAGGGTCGGTTCTGCAACTCCTGACAAGGGGCGTAACTAACTTAAGTTCCTATCGAATGTCTTTCTTACTGATCCCCCGAGTTTCCACCATTCACGTCACTATTAGCGATTCCTGAAACTCAGCGAACATCAGCAGTGACAGATGAATTCCCGCTTGTGTTTGTTTCAGCAGCTTCCAGGACAGAGGCATCGACACAAAGAAATAAACGAGGCCAGTGGAGCCTCCCTACACATTTTTAGGGGCGCTAATGTGGCATTGTTTGAATCTGTGTTACAAATAATGATAATGATAATACTGTGTTGAATAGTAGATAAATATAATAATGCATTTGATATATAGCTGTATATTTATATATTACTTAACAAGACATTTATACATGGTGGGTGCGAGGGCGCTCAAATCTTTTATAACTTTTCGGGGATTAAGACAGGCTGAGACCCCCCCCCTCCCCCCTCCCCCACCCCCTTTTCTCCCTTCACTGTGCCTGTCTCGGGGTTTCGTCCGTACAGGATAACGACGGGGTGTTCCTGGCGATTCCAAGCCCCCCGCCTTCTCTGTCCATTGCTAACTGTCTCTATAAATAGTCTCCGCACGAGCCAATAAGTCCATTATTTCTGCGCTAGCTACTGGTCGATTTTAAGCTTTCAACGTGTCCGCCAGTTTCTCTTGTTGGTGTCTGTTCCCGCTGGAGCACGGGAAAGTGGTTTATGTGTTTGATATTGTTCTAAGTGCTGTTTGCTTTATTGTACTAATATCATTATGGCTGAAGTTGCAGAGATTTGTGGCCCAGTTAGAGAGGTAGGAGGTTGGCGTTTCTGCACTGATTTTGTTGCAAATGTCTTTTTTTTTTTTAAATCATTTACTCACGGTGTCAGTGTTAATTCTATTTACTGCTGTTGCTAAACCTACTTCTAGCACTGTTGATAAACTTGATAAACTTACTTCTGGCGCCGTTGATAAACTTACTTCTAGCGCGGTTGATAAACTTCTTACGCGGTTGATAAACTTACTTCTAGCAATATTAATAAACTTACTTTTGGTACTGTTGATAAACCTACTTCTGGCGCGGTTGATAAACTTACTTCTAGCGCGGTTGATAAACTTACTACTAGCTCAGTTGATAAACTTACTTCTAGCAGCATTAATAAACTTACTTCTGGAGTGGTTGATAAATTTCTACTACTTTCGATAAACTACTTCTACCACAGTTGATAAACTTACTTCTAGTGCTGTCGATAAACTTACTTCTACCACTGTTGATAAACTTAATTCTAGTGCTGTTGATGAACTTACTTCTAGTGCTGTTGCTATGCTTACTTTTCCTTCTGTTGATAAACTTACTTCTGCTACTGTTGATGGACTTACTTCTAGCACTAATAAGTTACTTCTACTTGTTGCTAAATTGCATTTTAATTGTTGCTGACTTTTACTGCTCTTGATAAACTTAATGTTATCCCTGTTGGTAAACTTATTTTTACCACTGTTGATTAACTGCAAGCACCTTTGTTAGATGTAATCATACTACTGTTGATAAACTTATTTCTACAGCTGCTGCTAATATTACATCGACTTTAGTTGCGATTAAAAAAAAAATTTATTGTTATCAGTATTGTAGTTGTTTTTAGTATTATTTTACTAATCGTCTATTATATCTGTACAATCTTATTAGTGCATCTGTTTTGTCGCTGGTCTACTTCTGCTTCTAGTGCTACCTATACTACTGTCACTAATCCTGCACCGTCTGCTGATAGACCCGTCCTTTAGCCCATAGTCGTCATACTCAAGGGTGTACACAAAGATCAACACGGTCTAAAGAGGGTTGTTTAGCGAGGCGTGGACCAGGGGATCTTGCTGGCGTTCAACACTCAGAAAGAAGGCAAGACGGACATACAATCACATTGCTACTGGTCCCATCGAATAACTCATCGCATGCTGCTGAGGACAAGGACGGGACGTTTATCGGAAGCTCCTAAATGCCGTGATGTCGGTACAGCTGAGTACCGCAGATCTATTGCTACCTTTCAATCTACTGCTAATTAAGCATCTACCAGTGCTAGTAACCGTTCATGCCCAATTGTTGTTTATACCATGCTACCAGTGCTAACCATAACACCGGTTAGGGTTTGTCCTCTGTTCCTCCTCCTCCCTATCCTTTTCCTCCTTACTCCCTCATCACCCCCTCCCTTCTCTTCTTCACTATCGTCTTCTTCTGCTTATCCTGTCTCATTGGTTTCTGCCAATCCTCTGTTTATCCCCTCCTCTTTGCTCTTCAGTCTTCTTTCTGTTTCTCCTTTTCCACTCGCTCCTTCATCATCATCTTCTTCTATTTATACTCTTTTTCCTTCTCCCACACTCAGAGCCTCCCGTGCAAAAAAGACCTTTTACTTACTCATGTAGCCCAACCCACACTGTCTCTAACCTCCCCCCACCCCACCCCCACCCCCATGTATTGTGTGGACTCTATTTATTGCTTTGGCCCTATGTGTTCCAGGGCAAGGATATTTCTAGTTAGACTATTTTCATTTGTTCTCAGTTTAATAACCATCCATCGCCACCGTTGTCTCCTCACCTCTTGATACACTGCTGTTTGTTAGTCCAATCCAAAAACTGCATTCGTGATTATGTTATTTATGTAAGTCTTAAACAGGTGTAAAGGAGTTAACACAGAGAGTTCCAAACTTTTAATGCAAGTGACATATGATAAAGGAACATAATTTAGTCTACTAACAATAGCATTAGAATAACTAACAATGACTGCGTGTAAATGGCCAATGAAAACAGAACATTTTATACAACAACGAGAAGGAGACAAAGTTCTTTGATTATCTGATGAGAAAAGGAGCATTTGAACATATTGTGACGACTGGAAAGACCACTGGTAGAAGAAGCAGAGGCAGACCAAGATAAATGATGGTTGATGGCTTAAGACAGTGGCACGGAGAAGTATCATTAGTGAAATTGATCTAGAACACCCAAGACCGAGATCTGAGGACGCGCATGAATGCCTTCACCACCTGGCCAGAAACTTAATGATTATGAGCAATAGCCGGGTACATCAGTGTTGACAGCACAGCATTTCGTGCCAATTATTCTATTTAATGTTTTATGTTCTCGCTACACACTTTCCCACTGCAGCCAACACACTAATTTGGCACAGTATGCAGTTTGGAAAGCTCTGAGTTAACGAATATTTAAAGTTTAGTAGTAAATGTGTTAATTTAATGCGCTCATTTCTTCTCCAGGTCGTACCGAAAGACTACAAAACAATGGCGGCTTTGTCAAAGGCTATCTCTAAAAACGTGCTGTTCTCACACCTGGACGATAATGAGAGAAGGTGAGTGGTTAGGTGGGTGTTGGTTTTTAGCTTCTTGTATCAGTTGATGGCCTCTCTCTGGAAGAGCATCAGCAGTATGTTGTCATAAATCCCTAGATGTGCTTCATTATTCTCCTCCCCCTCATTCCTCTTCTTTTTCTTTTCCTTTTTCTCGTCCTCCTCCTCCTCCTCGTCCTCCTTCTTAGAATTCACTGGCTGTTTTCCCTTCTAATCACTAGCCAGTCCTTACGTCAGATTGAACAATGACACGTCAGTGATGATATATATACAACCACTGAGAGATGGAAACGACTTTAGATCACAGTTGTAGTTTACTGAACCAATGTGAGGGTCACTCACCCCTGTTATGTTCTGCCTCGGGAACCAAGAAGGTAATGGCATCCGCCTCTTCTTCTTCTTTTTTAACACAAGTTTTCATACTGCTTGAGTTGTTGGTCAGCTATCCAACTGTTGAATGAGGCTGGACAACCAAACCACTTGACTAATTATTCTTTATCACCTCTGATGCCTCTTGTATAATAATGCTCGATTCAATAAATTTCTTTGTCACCAACTTTCTATATCTCCTCTGTATAAAACAAACCTTATAATTCCTCACCCGAATTACATAATTTATCTTTTTAGTCTTATGAATATGACTAACTGTAAATAGCCCTTCATTCCATGCTCGCCTATAAACTTTCTTGGATGTTTTTGTGTGTGGCCTAAATGAGTCTTACTCTAACCCTTTTTTGAAACACTTGTGTTTGTTAGTAACATTAGCTTTTGCATACAGTGTTCGTCACACCTCTTCTTGATTACTGAGGTTAACTTGGCCTGGTGCCATATGAATGCTCCAGTAATAGGAATGATTGTAACTCCACAAAAGACTACTTAACACATTGATAAAACTTTGCTTGTTGGTCTTAGTTAAATAACACCACATCTTTTTCTTCAGGGTGCGGTTAAACCTTTCCACTCTAGAGGCTTTCACATCCTAATTTTCTGTCAGGGGAAAAAAAATGAATACCGTCGTTTGTAAGAAATTTTAAGAAGGTTTTCTTGGCAAATTCTGATCCTTTGTCTGATTGCCAGTTTATCAGTTTGCTCAGCAAATATCTCATTCACCGCCTCCGCTAACACTTTTCCAGTTTTGTATTTTATAGGGATTGCTCAGGCATATTTACTGAACACATCTATACAAGTCACTAAGTACGTCATCCTATTGTCTTTTCGTAAAGCTCTCATGTCTGTCAGATCAGCTTGAAATTGTTGGCTGATGCCACAGGTTATAACCGGACGTCTCTTGAAATGTTGGTAGACTGGTTTATGCAGAGTATACTATCTTGATGACATAGCCACTCTTTGGTATGTTTAGCCGTCATTTTGGTATGGCATTTTGTGGCCACAGTTCCACTATATGCACCACTATATGCACCAGGTTATCTCGGGCATAGTGAAGTTTACTCAGTGATGTGACCATTTCCCCCTCCCTCCCCCCTCCCCCGGGGTGTAGGTATTTTATACTTTGGGGGGGGGGGGGGCCCTGAGTGTATACGACGAGTTACCGATGGTGTCTCCGGTTCAGCAGTCTTCTTTTGGCTTTTTACTGATGGTGTCTTAATTGCTGTGTCAGTGCTTTCGGCTTTAAGCATGGTTGGCTGCGGCGGCTATTATTGTTCTGAAGTTGGGATATCCACTATGCCTAATGACTGTGGTGACAACTGTTCATTTTCCAGAACATGTCGAAATTTTTTTTCTTAATCGCATAGGTTACACTGTGTTGGGTGGTACATAGGCTTTTTGAGTCTCTAACGAATGTTTGTCGATCAATATCATTTTCTTGGTCATAGTTAAAAACCCAAGACACCTTTCACCATGCTTTGTGGAGTAGCTAATAAAGCGCCAACAAAACGGCCGTACTGCAAAATCACTCCCGAGCGCTGACACCCACCCTTATAATATATATACTTACATATAAATTTTCTGTCTCATGTTTTGTCTTAAAAAAGATAAATACATGATTAGTCTCCTATGTTCAAATTATTTTCCTTGTTGTAAAGGGACATAACATTAATCAGTATGTTTAAACTGTGTTTTGTTGAATTTTCCTGGTTTTTTTTTTTTTTTAATCGTTGCAGTAATATAATTTAAATGTATATTATGATATATATAGTCTACTCATTATTTTCTATTCCTCTTAATTAAAGGACTTGTATAAGCAATGCGTTTTCAGATTTTGCTACTCAGATTTAATACACCAGTTGCCTGCATGTGGCATTCATATGGGACACACGTGTATGTATATGTACTTGTAAGTTTATCTTTATTTATGTGTGTCTTTGTATGTCTGTTGTGTATAGCTCATTTGTGTGTGATTGCCTCTATGTGTTTCTTACTGTCTCTTTATTTCTCTCTTTCACTCGCTTCCTCACTCAAGTAAGTTACTAAATCAGCAGCGAGAACAGACCAAATGAACTACCGTATTTGTCGGTGTATAAGACGCACTTTTTGGTTCTCTAAGCGGGCCGTAACATTATATTGCGTCTTATATACGTCGAAGTTAAGACTATACGGTTAATTTTCATTGTTGCCCTCACTTTAGTTTTTCCTTTTCAAGCAAGATCTCGGAATTCTCCGCATTCAAACCATAACAAATGAGACAGTGAGGATTTATTGTTCGTTTTAGCCCATGATAGTGAAAGGAAATTTTATTCCGCCGTTATTTCATTGCCCCTAACTGCACAGTCATTAACATTAATTATATTTTCCTGAAAAATTGGAACTCACTTCCCCGAAAATGTCAAATTTGTGGGGTGGGTCTTATACAAGCAAATGTGTTATACACCGCTAAATACGGTAAATCAAAGATTATAAATGGAATATTTCATCGGGAGTTTACAATAACTAACTTCACCAGGATTTGAAAACTAAATTACTGCATCGGGAATTTATAAGAACTAACCTACTTTATTATTAGTTGAGAACTAAATTACTGCATCGGGAATTCAGAACTAACTTACTTTATCAATAGTTGAGAACTAAATTACTGGGAATTTAGAAGAACTAACTTACTTTATCAGTTGTTGAGAACTAAATTACTACATTGGAAATTAAGAAGAACTAATTTACTTTATCAGTAGTTGAGAACTAAATGGCATGGGGAATTTAGAAGAACTAACTTACTTTATCAGTAGTTGTGAACTAAATTACTGCATGGGGAGTTTAGAAGAACTGACTACTTTATCAGTAGTTTAGAACTAAATTACTGCATCGGGAAATTAGAAGAACTAAATGACTACATCAGGAGTTAAGAACTGCATTATTTTATCCAGGGCTTAGAACTAACTGACTGGTCGAGGAGTCTGACAGACCTGGAGATCTAACGACATTGCTGAAACGAAATTCTCATCCCTATAGCGTTTTATGACATTGTTCTCCTGGCACAGTCACGTATCCGTCATTGATTACCCTGCAGAAGTGACGAGTTAATTTTCGGTCTTTAGTTCAGTTCAATTTCTGACGTAATCAGAATCAGAAATTGTTGCAAGTCTATAAAGAGCACAACATAAAGATCCATTGATGTGGCGTGATTGATATCCGTGTGATGCACTGAACATGAAACGAACGTGTGAAAAAAATATAGATAAATTTGCAAACATAAACAAAGAGAGCTGTTACAGGGAAAGACAGATGGCCATTGAAGGGGAAATTGGGAAGTTTATGAACCTTAGCCCAATCCAGCCACATTACAGGTTATCACTGGGAGCTGCGTGGTGTCAAGGCATGGCGTCAGCCTCAAGTGCTGGAGGTCCCAGGTTCAAGCCACCGTGAAGGCTGGGATTTTTTCACCTGGACTTCTAGTAATTTCCCCTGGTCTCTGGGTAGTGAGATCCACGGCCTAGTCTATTTATTATTATTAGAGAAGGCGTTGGTAAGATCGGACAGCCGTGTGTGTTGTTGCGCACGTAAAAAATACCTTGGCATTTAAAAATCTACCCAAAGTATTTCAGGATTCTCGCCGGTGCTATGGAGTTCGTGCACTTGATTCTTCGGACTCAGGCTTGAGTCAGAAGTAGAACGGAGCACTTATAAGTTACCACCCTTCTGCAATGACGTTGATCCTTCGTCTAAACCTAAAAATTGCAGGTCACTTCGTAAACGTAGTCTGCTCCAGTATATGTTTTATATACGGCTGAACGGTGCTGATAGGGTTCGGTTCTGATAAATTTGCATTCGAATAGTGACTCTTTGTGTCATTGGGTTGCAATGCTGGAAACAAATATGTACTGTTTATATAAAATAATCCAAGATCGTAGTCTGAAGGATTTACATCTCAAAGATGAAGCTGGAGCAGGTGCCAATCCTGCCCTGTTTCAACCGTAGAGCCATAGATTAGCACCTTTCCGTCTTTCCAGACGATAGTGTTATACTGCGCTATGAGGAGGCATGAGACACACAGCCCATGGTGATGGCGAGTGTGACAAGCAAGACCCGCCAGCGTTAAGGAAAGTCTTCCACGATTATAGCAATGGATTTCGGGACTATTGTTGTCAACATTTGTGTTTAGTGTGTTTCCTCTCAAATGCTCACATTTGATCCTTTCTGCAGTCATTTCTTCTTTCGTTCTCATTCCCTTCCTTATATACCCCTCCACACAACACGGTCCATGGCATTTTGTTCCCACGAGTCAATCTCAATACCTGTATCATTCATGCCCCGTTTGCACACATCTTTATATCGTAGTCGAGGTCGGCATCGACATCTTCTACCCGTATTTAATTCAGCGTAACGGATGTCCTTAGGGACTCTTCCATCCACCATTCTCCGGGTGTGACCGAACCACCCTAACTTCCGTAGCCCGAGCATTGAGAACACTACTACCTTACAGCCTTACAGGAAGATTATATTGAGACCCCACAAAACGGTTGCCAGGTCCAGTGTGGGTGGGTCTTGACTGCAGCGAAAGCTTCTCCCTCTTTTTCTTTGCGTTCACCGGCTCTAAACTTCCGTGGAAAATTCTGATTGTTCGTCCACTTTTGAACTTCGGTCTTGTTTCGGAACGTGAGTTTTCCGTGCACATCCGTTTCGCTGATCTGGCTTGTATTGTAAACAGACTGGTAGTTCTTTGCCTCTCAGGCAGATGCACTTTAAAGGAAACCTCTAATTAGTCAATTTTTACGAAAGTCTTGTTAGGGAGGCAGTGGCACTTCCTTGTGGTGCCCCCCCCCCCCCAACCACAGTGGGATCCCGGAACTAACACGAGGACTTTAGGTAAATGAAAACACGCGCACACATGCAGCCGAACCTTTCAACCAAAGTCTGGTGTCGTCAGCCGCTATACGCTGCAGGATTTACCCAGGATGGAATCCGAGGACTCAGTTTGCAGTGAGGATTGTCTGACTGACTGACGAACTAACTGTGTTGTAAATACCAGTCAGCTCACATGTTTACTGCTTTGACAGTTCCCTCAGATTCCATATTATTCTCTTGCCAGTCACTCTTATAATTTTACATTTCTCCTCATCCTTCCCCTCCTCCTCCTTCTGCTTCTTCTTCTGTTTCTTCTTGTTCTTCTTCTTCTGCATCTTCTTCTTCTTCTTCTTCTTCTTCTTCTTCTTCTTCTTCTGCTTCTCCTTCTGTTCTTCTGCTCCTTCTCCTTCTGCTTCTGTTCTTCTGCTCCTTCTGCTTCTGCTGTTGCTTCTTCCTTCTTCTTCGTCTTCTGCTTCTTCTTCTTCTCTCCCCTCCCCCCCCCAATTGGGTACACACTTAAAAGGGCAGTTATGATGCTGCGTAGTGGTCTACAACTAGACAGCGCTATCTTCGCCTTTTGTTTCAACGGATCGGGTTTAAATAAACTCCTAGTTAGTCACATATAACAACTTTCTTGTTAAGGACAGTCGTCTGGACTTGTCGTCTCCCTAAATGGGACCATTGAACTCAGACACCGAGCTGGGAATGTTACGTTTTGAAGCAGACGATATCGGTTTACCAATTCGACATTTCCAGAACTTTGGAATATAAGCCTGTGGGATTCGCGAACACCACGCTGGAGTCACCTAAGTGCACTGTTAGTCGTTTTCTTTAAAGTGCATTTTTCAGGGCTGTTATTTGTCACTTTACAATATGCGAGAGGCACATGTAAGAATTCCTGCTTCGAGTAGGTCAGAATGAATGATGACTTTTCACGCAACTTCACATCCCCAGAGATCTCAGTGTTCAGATGCTGTTTTCTCGAAAAAATGATATATCAGTTGAAAACTTGGGCTTACTGCCAGCGACATAATCTAGTACTGTATAAGTAATGTCATTGCAGGCAGGGTCTGACTGTGTCTCATTGATCTGTTTCCCTCAGTGTTGAACATGCCGCCCCCCTCCCCACTGTCTGTTATGCCCCCCCCCCCAAAAAAAAAACACCTTCTGATATGTTCCCCACTGTCTGATATGATCCCTTCAGGTGTATGCTTTCCTTCAATCTGTCCCCACCCATCCATTTCTATGATGCCCCCTGCTAGTAGTCAGTGTCGGTTTACTGACGGTGCTGATGTAATTGCTGCTGAACTTATAAAATAAGTTGGTTATGCCTTACATTTAAAGATATACGAAATAATAAAACAAGTTTGGAGGAGTCTGAAATTACCCCAGGAGTGGGAAGAGTCATTACTCATCTTTAAGAATGGAGTTAAGTACAGATGTAAAACGTGTAAGGAAAGTTATCTACAAGCTGTGGTGGAGACAGCACAGCCTGACATGTTGTAACTGTAGCAGGCTCACAGGGCATGCTTGGGAAAATTGAAACTGGCGTGTAGCGTGGCTTGCATCACTTAAAAGACTCAGATCAAGAGCATGTCATGGATTATCTGTCTATGTTATTCAGGTGTGCGAGGTAACTAGTAGTTGATAGATTGGCTGCTGCCGCTCCTGTGTGAGCTGCTATATGATTATGAGGATGTGATGAAAGCTCTAAGGCATCAAATGACCAGTACAAAAGAACAGACAGGGAATCCAAACACTGAAAGACTAATTCAATGGGCGGTGTGTAGAGGGCTCTGGAAGATATTCAACAATGAAGCGAAAACAGGGGCGGAGGTTTAATCAGGTTGCAACAGGTATGACAACATTTCATTGGTTACTGAAGAAGGAAGACAGATCACTTGTGGGAATGTCCTGAGTGCAGTGATGTCAATTCTTCATTCATTCATTGCGCAAAATCATAACTACAGAGATGAAGTGTCTTAGAAGTGCTACGGTAAGGGGTAACAAAAGAGATCAGATTAAAAAAGAAGCAATTTGGAGACTAAGCCTGAAACAGTTTATTAAAGAGCAGCAGATAAGTTGGTTTGCCCAACATCTATTTGACTGTGCAGATCCTTACATCACCCTCTAAAACTTCGATGAGGTAACTGGAAAAAGAAGAAGAAGAAGATAATGAAATGTTGCATATTTTAGTTAATGTACTTATCTAAGTTTATATTATGAGTATGCGTTTTTTAAAATTTCTGCAGCGATATTTTTGATGCAATGTTTCCTGTTCATCGCCACGCAGGGGAAGTAATTATACAACAAGGTAAGTGCTTCAACTTCTCGTACAACTGAGTATATCCACCAATGGCAGTCTCTATGTGTTGCACCGTAGTGTGTTGTCTGGGTAATGCAGATTTATACAGCACAGTATCTTTATTATTTGTTGGAAGGGATTTTTTGAGAAATGAATGGATTAGAAGAACCCTGGCAGCCTCTTTTATATTAGCCGTTAATTGGGTGGTCGAACGTTATGTTGCAGTTTTCAGCACCTTTTAGCACAGCACATCCAATTTCTCTAGCATCCCAGTTAGTTAACATTTGCCACATGCTTTAAGGGGCAGGGGAAATTGGCCTATTCCCTCTCCACCTCTCTCCCAGACATTGGCCCCAGATGTTGGAACAGTACCCATCACTAATACCCATCATTACCTCACAGATAATAGGCAGCTGAGCATCAAACAGGGAACCACAAAGAGTAATGATATACAGGTACAGCGGTAACAAAGCCTGAGGTCAACAGTGCAGATGATAGACTGCAGAAATATTAGAGACACTGAAAAGTACTATATATGAGGCGAACAGAAAGGTCGGTTCAAGAGATCTCTTCTTGCCCTGCTTCCATGAGACATTCCAGAAGTAAACAGAAGAAGAAGAATGCAGCCGAGCCAGGGCGCCCTCCATTGCCTGGTATGCTGTGAAAACTTAATGTCAGTGACTGCTTCAGTCCATCTTTATCTGTCTCTCCTGCTGCCTCTTGATGTTTCTGTTCTCATGCAGTGCACTGTTGCTGCCTTCCCGGTGGATTTATTTTTGCTAGGTGGCCAAACCATTTCAGTCTTTAATCCTCAGTAAATTTAATGTTGGGTATTGTTTCAGTATTCCTCAGATCTCTTCATTAGACTCACTGTTTACTTGGGTCATGGGGCATGTGCCTCAGTAGCAAGAAACTAAACCAATCTGTAAAACGGATGTGCACGAAAAAATCATGTTCTGGAACACAGGTCAGAAGAGGCTAAACAACCAGGTCTTTCCATCAGAGTTTACAGCTGGTGAAGAAAGAGTAAGAAGACAGGTTGTATGTGTGTGTGTAAATTGTAGGACATCACAAAACTCAAAAAACACCCGGTGACACAAAGTGCCACCTTGCGGATGAAGATCACCCGTGGAGAGGTCCCGGAAATCCCGTTCAGCCGTTAGGCCATATTTAAGGCCCAGCTATATTTAGGGCCCATGGCAAAAGTCTGCTAAAAATTGCATCCATAACAGGATGACAATTCAATGAGACAGGCTGCCTAACTGACTTTCTACCCCACCAGGACATCACACAAGCAATAAACACCCGATGACACAAAGTACCACTATGCGGGTCAGGATCATCGTGGAGAGGTCCCAGAAACCATGTTCAGCCTTTAGGCCATATTTATGGCCAGGCTATATTGGGGCCCCTGGCAAGAGCCAGAGTCAGACTTCAAATAACGAAAAATTGTGTCCTAAAAAGAACGAATAGTAACAATTAATGCTGAGACAGGTAGCTAGTTATCTCTCCTGTTGTTTAGTAAATGTTCCAGCCAGACAGCGGTAACTTAAAATTAGAATAAAGTTTGAATTGATAATGTGTCTGTTAATCTCTGCTGAAATAGCCGGCTGCTAGATTTAGGTAAGCTGCATTATGATGATACACTAGACTTGATAACATGTTGTAGTTCAGATAATCCTGAACTGTTTCTGTGAATCTGCAGGTGACGAGGGAGACAACTTCTATGTCATTGACCAGGGCGAAGTGGATGTAAGTATTCTTGTTGTGACTCCTCTCACTTAAGATCTCTAACGTTGTAGTTAAACAGTAATAATTAAAGGACTCATTTTTGCACCTATGGCACATCGGAGCATATCATGTTAAACTCATATTTTTATAGACCAGTCGGCACACGATGGGCGATGTGGTCAGTTTGTTGCTACTAGTGTCAAACAGGGGCCCTTACTGAAACTAATGAGGTGAAAATTCTAACAACAGATCAGATGTTTTAGAAAAGCTGTCAAAGTAAACAGAAAGATAACATTAAAAAATGAAGAAATTAGAAGACTAGAACTGAAACCAGCCATACAGTTTGTCAAAGGGAAACAGATGAGATGGTTTGGTATCTGAAGAAAATGGCCGGGTACCAACTGCAACAGAGAGCTGCGCTATGGAAATGTAATGAACATAAAAAAAGAAGACGACCAGGCAGAAAGTGGAACGATGGTGTCAAGAACAACCTTAATAAAATGAAGACCAGCTTATACAACACATTGTAAAGAACACACAAAATATCTCTACATTTTCCCCAACACTTTGATGAGTCACTAGAGAAAGTGAAGAGGAAGCAGAAAACCATTTCTTGTGAATTGTGGACTCTCATACCACAGTCGAAACCCACACAAAGCAGTGTGCTGTCAAGTTGCCTGCAGCCGGATCAAACCATGTATGTCAGAATTATAAAACTGCACTCTCAACTCCTAAGACATGAATGCCAACCTGTATTTATCGTGTATACCAGTACTACATATAAAGTTTTTTTTTCTAGAGATGTTTTCATAGGTAATGTATGCAGCTTTTTGTTCATACCAACATTAATGTCACCAAAAAAAAAACATTCTGAATATATTATCTGTGAATCTCTAGGTTACATAATCAACAACAGTGTAAACTGGTTGACAGAAGTCGAAAGAAGGATGATTACAGCAGTGCGAAGATTCTTCTTAATTCTCCTTCACTTCTTCTTTTACCGCTTTCGGTATGCATGGAGATAAAAAGCTCGGTGCTTTATTAATGTTTGATCCCAAACAGGGGAAATCCACAGGTCACGGGACAGTCTAATATTTCAGAGGGTAGTAGATAGGCTGCATGTAGTCGTGGGACCTAGACTGCATGCATTTGTGGGACATAGGTGGGTTGGGGTTAGGGCCAGTTAAAGATGGTTTGGGGTCCTTAAAAGCATCAGAAAGCTGGGAAACCCAGTCTTACCACCCTCTAAAATGTTGGACTGTCCTTTGACGTCATCTGGGGTAGGATATTCATAAAGAACCTAAAGCTGTACCTGCGGCTGTTCTGGCCATCTGGACTATAGACACATGGTGCTGTTATAGAGTTTCTCTGATGTTGTCTTATCTGTGGTCTGTTCTAAGGTGTATGTCAATGGAGTTCATGTGACCAGTATTGGAGAAGGGGGAAGCTTTGGCGAGCTGGCCCTTATCTATGGTACTCCTAGGGCTGCCACGGTTAAGGTGAGTACGGATTACTGCGAGATGGAGACTACGGTAGAGACAGACAGATAGTAGATAGACATACATGTTGTGACACAGAGATAGATGGGTAGTGAGACAGAGATGGATAGACAGACAGAGAGAAAGAGAGAGACGGATATGCAAAAAGAGAGAAAAAGATAGATAAACAGCAGACAGTACAGACATACATAAAATGACACACAAAGAGATGGGTACATAGACATACAGACAGACGCACACACACACATAGAGAGAGAGAGAGAGAGAGAGAGAATCTTGCGGAGTTAAACCTGGTACAATGAAATCAGTTATTTCTTCATCAGACACCTCTCTCTTTCTCCCCTTTCTACATTCACTTATTTATGAGTAGATTATAAGGTCTCCTCACTTTTTCCTCTCCTTTTTGCCTTCTTTATTTCATTATTCTGTTATGTCTTCTTATATTATTTACAAATTGTTTTGGACATTTCTTTCTTCAGGCTCCAGTTGTTGTCTTTTTATATTTACGTCTGAATTTCCAGTTGTTGCCAACATGTAGACAACATTCTTGAGAGTGGAGGATCTCCATGAATACTTGATAATGAAAGTTTATTGTATGTATTGTATTGACACCATGTAGCCACTGGTCTTTTTCTCCTTCTCCTCCTCCCCCTTCTTCTTCTTCTTAGCGTCTAAAAGCCAAGTTTTTTTTTTGTGCACATTCATTTTACAAATCTGGCTTATTTGTATGCAGACAGTTGGTTCCTCACTTCTTGGGCAGATGCAATCCAGTTTTGGAGGAAACACCCACAATTATTTGCTTCTTAAGACAAGCCTTGGGGAGGGGAAAGTGGGTGGGGGTGTAATCTGTTTTATGTAATGCTGGAATTGGGAAAGTCACTAGTGATGAGCAGAGACATCAGTTTTTTACATCTAAAGGCTCTCCTAAATTGTTTGCTTCATGCTTCTGTGTTTGTTTAGGGTTACCACACCCCCTTTATAAGTTTGCTAGAGGTAGGGTCCTTAAGAGTCTAAGGCCTTGTTTAAATGTGCAGCAATAATAATTAAAACGTGCTTAATGGCATATAAATGTAATAGTGTATTTGAAATAATATGATACATATCAATACATACTTCAGAAAGAGAACATCTGTACAATGCAGACCACTTATGGCTATCTTGGATGTGGGGAATGTATGTTGTGAAGAATAATTTGCTTATTCCCTTAAATGTTTCTGGCTTGAACTCTTATTTTAACTCTTATTTGATAAGAGGAATTTCTGATAAAAAGAACCATTTCTTGAGTTCCTGGTGAGTTCTCCTTATCAGTTCTGCACTGTATTTGGTTAGGGGACGACCAAGCTCGCTTGCAAATAGTGGCCTAGAAATTAGGGGGGGGGGGATGTGCTCACTCTGTGTGTGTGTATGTGCACATGTGTGTGTCTGGGTGGGTGTGGCTGGGTGTATGTGTCTCTCTCTGTGTCATTTTGGGGATCTGTATCCTGTAGTCTATCAGGTCCTGGTAAGTTTAGATCGTATGTTTTCTAGTTACCAGTTAATGCTGGACATGGCCCCTAGACAGGATTCTTCCTGTCCTCGTTCACACCTTTGTTCACACTGTAAGCCCCCTGTGTTAGGTGACCAAGATGAGTCTTGTGACTTTTGGAAGCAGCAGTCATGACAAAACTAGCAGATTGTACACAGTTACTGGGTAAGGAATGCCACCAGTTCAATGGCTGCTAGTCACCCAGTATTTTCTGAACATGCATTTCATAACACAGGATATAATAGTTACAGACAAAAACAAATCCACATGAAATGTGCAGCTCAGTATTGTATTGAGTATAGAACTCAGTAAGTAGAGGATGGAACCTGTCCAGATATTATTGAGTGTATGAACAGAAAGCCAACAGTGTGGACAACTTAATAACAGTATGAACAAATGGACAGCAGTGTGGACAACTTAATAACAGTATGAACAAATGGACAGCAGTGTGGACAACTTAATAACAGTATGAACAAATGGACAGCAGTGTGGACAACTTAATAACAGTATGAACAGAAAGCCAACAGTGTGGACAACTTAATAACAGTATGAACAAATGGACAGCAGTGTGGACAACTTAATAACAGTATGAACAAATGGACAGCAGTTAGGACAACCTGATAACAGTATGAACAAATGGACAGCAGTGTGGACAACTTAATAACAGTATGAACAAATGGACAGCAGTGTGGACAACTTAATAACAGTATGAACAAATGGACAGCAGTGTGGACAACTTAATAACAGTATGAACAAATGGACAGCAGTGTGGACAACTTAATAACAGTATGAACAGAAAGCCAACAGTGTGGACAACTTAATAACAGTATGAACAAATGGACAGCAGTGTGGACAACTTAATAACAGTATGAACAAATGGACAGCAGTTAGGACAACCTGATAACAGTATGAACAAATGGACAGCAGTGTGGACAACTTAATAACAGTATGAACAAATGGACAGCAGTGTGGACAACTTAATAACAGTATGAACAAATGGACAGCAGTGTGGACAACTTAATAACAGTATGAACAAATGGACAGCAGTGTGGACAACTTAATAACAGTATGAACAAATGGACAACAGTGTGGACAACTTAATAACAGTATGAACAAATGGACAGCAGTGTGGACAACTTAATAACAGTATGAACAAATGGACAGCAGTGTGGGCAACTTAATAACAGTATGAACAAATGGACAGCAGTTAGGACAACCTGATAACAGTATGAACAAATGGACAGCAGTATGGACAACCTAATAACAGTATAAACAAATGTCCAGCAGCATGAACAACCTTAAAACAGCATGAAGCAACATTATGAAAAAAACTAATAACAATATGAAAAAAATACCAGCAGTATGAACAAATGGACAACAATATGAAAAAATGACCAACGGGGTGGGGGAGGGGTGGGGGACCCACTAATGACTGTATGAAGAAACTAATTACGGTATTATCAAATTACCAACAGGGTGAACAAATTACCAACACTGCAAACAAAAATATAAACAAAATAATGACAGCAAAAAGAAAATGAGGAAGACCAAGAGAGACTCTTCCTAGAACCATCAGCAGGGAAGGCTCAACGCTGGGCCTAATGAACATCCAAGATTTAATTTGCCCTCTGCGAGGCCCTAGACCCAAGAGGAAAGACTAACTATTGACAGTATAAACAAACTAATAACAATATGAACAAACTAATAACATTATGAATAATGAACAAACTAATAACTGTATGAACAAACTAATAACTGTATGAACAAACTAATAACTGTATGAACAAACTAATAACTGTATGAACAAACTAATAACTGTATGAACAAACTAATAACTGTATGAACAAACTAATAACTGTATGAACAAACTAATAACTGTATGAACAAATGGCCAACAGTTTGGACAAACTAATAGCATTATGAACAAATGAGCAACAATATATTAAAAAAAATAACTTTTTGAACAAATGGCCAACATTGTGAACAAGTGACCAACAGTATGAACAAACTAATAGCATGAACACATAACTTAACAATGTGAACAAACTAATAACGTGAACACATGGCCAACAATGTGAACAGCTCAACATTATGAACAAATGGCTAATCGTATAGACAAACTAATAACATTATGAACAAAGCACCAGCGGTGTAAACAAACTAATAATCGTAGGAGGTACATATATATTTCTGGAATCAAGAGATAGACACTGAAGAAACTAACAGTATGTAATATATCTAAGAGTTCAGCCTAGAGGAACACTAGATTCCAATCGATCATTTTGAGGTGAAAACGATATATATTTCTCTCTATCTATCTTCTTTTACCCCACCAGTACATCACTCAAGCGATAAACACCCGATGACACAAAGAGCTACCATGTAAATCAGGATCACCCGTGGAGGGATCCCAGAAACCGCGTTCAGCCATTAGACCATATTTATGGCCGGGCTATATTGCGGCCCCTGGCAATAACCAGAGTAGGGCTTCAAATAATGAAAAATTGCATCTCAGAAGGGGATGACTGGAAATTGATATATTCTATAGACACATGAAGCGTGTACATTCTTAGTGATCCGGCTTGTAAGTTCTTTCACACACATGTTTACCACACACAGTTGTTGATTTCTGTCTCCCCGGGGGTTCGCTTGGGTCAGGCTTTGATCCAACAGAGCGTCTGCTTAGATCCTCCTTGGTCTGTAGTTAATCAAGTGGAAATAAAACTGAAAGCCCTGCAATCTTCGCTAATTTATTAAATGGATTGCCTCCCGTCTACGCGTTGCTGTAGAAATGTTATCTCCCTTCATTTATCAAATTACTAGACACTCCTAACACGCTGTGTGTTTGGGAAGTTACTTCCTCTGAAATGATAAACAAATTGCCACTCTTTCACGTTGAATTTTGCTAACATTACTTTCCCTTGTTTGTTTCAATGGGTTACATTCCTGAACAACAACAACAAAACAGACAAATGTGTGGTTAGTTACTTTTTGAATCAGTGGGTTCTAGTTTGTGCGCAGTCTGTTCATTGGTAAAGTAGACGTCAATATTGGGCAGCGTATTATGAAATTATATCAACCCAAATGAAAGAAAGACCAGCGAGCTTCACAGTGTATGATATCAAAATCCAATTTAGTCCTTTTCAGGACGAAATTTTTTTTTCATTTGAAGCCCTACTCTGGCTTTTGCCAGGGGCCGCAATATAGGCAGGCCATACATATGGCCAAATGTCTGAACGCGGTTTCTGGGACCTCTCCACGGCGATCCTCATCCGCATGGTGGCACTTTGTGTCATCGGGTGTTTATCGCTTGTGTGATGTCCTGGTGGGGTAGAAAGTCAGTCAGTCAGTCGGCTTCACAGTGTAACAAACAAAAAGAGAATGGTGCGGATATAGACAACACATGACATACATCAACAGAACCAAATTTACAGATAAGAATACACAGAATCACTTAGCTGACGTAATCCCGACG